CTGGATATAGGTCTGCATTCCCGCGGCTGTACCTGTGCATTGTCGCGGGACACGATGATATTTCATGTGGCACGGTAATAAATTTCTGAATAAAGCGCGGGAGCAGTCGGTAACTCTGGTGTAATTTAAACAGGAGTGGGTGGTCTCACAACATCGTTCCCAGCAAGGGCGCGTGCAAGTGTGTGTATGTGTGTGTGTGTTTGTTTGGTGCTGTCTATGTTTGTGTATGTGTTTGAATGAGAGAGTGTGTGGTGCTGTGTGTCTGTGTGTTTATACAGAAAGCTTGTTATAGCCACACCCCAAATTAAAACACTGTGTATGGAAAGCATCATCAATGCACCGTGATGCACCTAGATATCGAATTGAACCGAATCGATGGCATGATCATGGTAACCAAACCGAACCGTGAGACCAGTATAGGTACACACCTCTAATCTTTAGTGACAAAAAGTTGAGGTCATGAAGTTTAAATGGATCTCTCTGCTGATCCACCAGGACCACCGTAAGCATGAGAGGTGGCTGAGAAGGGTTCATTCTCCTGACACCTTATTGACAAGATGGTCAGTCTCAATGTCCTACCCTCTACTTGCATCATAGTGAGCAGTGACTGCAGAAATATAGACCTTCTGCCCCTGCTCCAACTTGTCCTGTAGGAAATAAAAAACAACACATCTTGGTGAGGAGCACAACACACTCCACTTTAGTGTAAGGGCACAACTTGTAGAGGGGCTCTAATGGCTAGGTCATTTTTTTTGCATCTTGTATAAGACCAATACAGGAAAGTTTCATGGACCAGTGCCAGATTGTTCTCCGTTCCTGAGAAAGCAGGTTCCTCGGGGAGATTCATAAGGGAAGGGTTGTCAGCAGGAGAGAGATCTGAAAAACTGGTCTGGGTGGCTCAGTGCACTAACAGCTACCAAGACCTGCTATTTATACTTCCACCCTTTGCTCTGGGTTTGTGCGAGAAGGCTCATTGGGGAAACACATACTTGTATAGATCCCAGGACCTGTTGCATGCCAGTCTGTCGGTGCAGTGAGTTCCTCGGACAGGAAGTTAAACAACTGTGTGTATAGTTTTAGATGGAAGCAAACATGTAGTCCTTGGCTTCGCCAAAACATTTTAAAAACAGCTAGACCCCCTGGGGTGGAGTTTCTATTCTCCCTGGAGTGTAAGCTGTCATGAGAATCCATCAGCTGCACAACTGAGATTGCTGTGTATGTGAAGCATACAGCGATTTGAACAGTTCGTAACTACAGAAGGGCAGATGGTTATTTGTCCTCCCCCTGGTGGTTAATGTAACTACGTTGCCTTCCCTGACAAACACCCCCTAACTCCTTCCTCCAAAACCGAAATTAGAGCTTGATTTATTTCCAGTTATTCAAGGGAATTAATATGCCAATGCAGGTAGGGCTGGGTCCATGAACGTGACACTGCATCCTCATGCATCTGTTTTAACCTTGTACTGCTAGACACACAGCACAAATCTCAGGAATGGTCTGTGCTGAAGTTTGCATCTTTTAAGTCAATAAATGCAAACCCTTCCTAATGAGACACATCCAAGAGTTTGCCTCCTGTGAATGGAACAGTTATGGAAACTACTCTTAACTGAAGTAGTGTGTAACACTGATCGTGGGGTTATCAGCAAAATGGTAGACGAGTCCCGGTCCTCTATTTAGGAAATCCTTCCTCAACAGGACATTGTGTGCTTGATGCTTCTTATGGTAAGAGGTCTCCATCAGCGGTGGCAGAAATTGTGTTGAAGCAGCAGGTGGACACACCTCGGTTTTGACTATCTAAAATGTTTAGCCAGAGTTGGTGTTCCCTGGCCACTAGTAGTCATCGTCCAGCCCAGGGATCATGCAGCTACCTTAGAGCATAGTCAGTAGCTGTGCAGAGGTCCATAGGAAGAAATGCTCTTGTGCAGCTTTTTTAAAACCTGGACTTGGTAACGCTCATAGGTGCCCATGGTATATAAGGCAGGGGCAGACTAGTCTACAGCAGTAAGTTCTGGCATTCATAGAAAACATACCTTGAATGGGAGGTTTGCAAGATTTTGCCAGACAGCTGTGCTTTGCAGACAAAGGGCTCTATTTTGACGGTCCATGCGCAAAACGCAAAGCGCAGATCGCAAACAGTTTCAGGGCGTGTCAGAATCCATACTTGCTAATTTAGGGACGGGAAAATCTGCTTTGCGCCATGGCACATGGTCTAAAAGGGTTGAGTTTATTTTCTTAACAAGTTATAGGTGTGTTTTGAGAATAAACCAATCAGAGTCTTATCTTCCATTACCTTTAAGAGCCAGCTGCGTCGTGTCATGAGCGCATTTGCTATTTACATGACGTAAAGTAAGTTCATTTTCGATTTTGCTCTCGTGGATAGGGAAGCCTTTACGCACAAACATCAGTTAACCTATAAATAATTCATTTTGTTTGTTAAGCGCAAAGATTTGTTTCCAAACTATTTCTAAATTCAATTCTAATTTCCAGCAAATGAATAAATGAACATTGAAAACGAAGTGTGTTCAAAATTCTGTGTTTTTTTCCAAATACACCTGCCATGCCCCATATGGTCTAAAACCTGACAGGTGGACACATCTAAGATTGTTTTTAATAAAACAAATATAAATATGGATATAATAAATAATACTGTTAATACAAAAGCAAATTGAATGAACTGAAAAAGTCTCCAGAGATGAAGAAAGTATGAAGGCAGTGGTTTTTTTAATTCATGTAGGCTAGAAATTAATATTTTTTGTAATATTTTAATAATTTATATTTATATCCTATATATATCCTTAATATATTATATCTTTTTCATATGTAAAGATATTTGCGTATTGCTCTACATCTTGTGTGTAGTGTGTAAGCCAGGCGCACTTTGCGCCAGACAATAGACCGATTTTGTTCTGGTCTAAAGAACAGACTATTTACAGTTTCTCGAAATAGCAACGAGCCAAAACACGCCTGCTTTTTTAGACCAGAACGCCTATAGGCGCACATTTGAGCGCAAATACATTTGCTATTTAAACAGTGTGGCGCAATGCCTCAAAATGACCCTTGCGCCGAGTAGCAAATAGCAATTGCGCTGCGTCTTGCGCCACATTGCGCCGGGTGTATGATAGGGCCTAAAGATTCACTGCAATCAACTTTTTCACCTGGAGGATATCCATATTACCCCTCTGCCTTCTCTACCACCAAGGGCAGTATGAAGGGTAATTTACAGCGAACGTCATTTGGTGGCAGGAAACCACCACAACCAGAAATGCACAGATGGAACACAACCTTGAAATAACTGCTTTACTCATTCAGGGAAACTGCTCTTTGTGAGCTCATCTACTGTTTCACTGCTCTCATCTTTTATCATGTTTCTATTATCTCTCAATATTTATAGAATTTTCAGAACAAATGTTAAAATAACCAGTTTCCAGGACCATAATGTTCTGCTGTTTTCTGGTACCACTAATTTAATTGATATACTTTTTAGTTGATATATTTAAGGACCCCTTCTGGAAAAGCAAAGGGTAACACTTCATTTTGATAGTCCATTTGAGTATTAGTAGACTGTATGCTTAATATTTGTTGATACTACCTCAACAGACATTTAACTGATTATAAGAAACTTTGCAAGTACAAGTAAACTTACACTAAACCTAAACAACACCCCAATCCTAACCCCAACCTAACAGTCTACTTATAATCCAATGAGATTTAGTTGGCATGTAGATGTAATGTAACTTATTGCAATAAACGGATCATTAAAATAAAGTGTGACCAAGCCAAGTTATACAAGATTAAGACGATTAGTGTTTTTTAACAGGAAAATTGGTTGGCCTATCCAAGATTGTGCAAGTAAGTGTAGAAATATCATGGTATTATCATAAATAGCTAAACTGATATGTTTTTTTTCATGGAGGTTATGTTAACAGAAAATATTTAATATGTCATGTATTTCATTGAGTACATTATGACACATACTGTACTGTCTAATGGTCACATAAAAAGTACTGCTTAACCGCAATAAGCAAGTGAGCTGGCCATTATGCTAACTACTTTCTAGAATGGTGAACATGAGAGTACTCAAACTCTGAGAAAAACAGATCACAAACACTCAAGTGGTTTTTGCATTTGCATTTGAAAGGCTGCATAGAATTGTATGTACTAATTTATAGTACTGTTTTGAATAACTATTCCTTCTTCTTTGCATTTTTATGTATCATAATCAAGAATTATTTATCATCTCAAAATCTGACAAAAGTGTTGGCATGAACAATAATTCATCAAATAAGCTAAATACATTGGTCCCTACGGCGAAATTATTGAAAGAGTGAAGTGAATGAAGGAAAAACTGAAGAACATTTACTGTTTAATACTGTAGATGCGGGGCTTTATGAAGCCAGAACTGAAGAATGCTTTAACTGTGACACAAGAGATTAACCACCCACCTGCAGTGCTCGCAGGCACAGAGAGACAGAAGAAAGACTGGGTTAGATGGCGATTAGTGCACTGGGAAACTGTAGAGCTGTGCTAGTGCAGTTTTGATGAGCGCTAATAAAGAATAAGCAATTTAAATCACCACCAACACCTTTTATATGCCAGACTACACACTGCATAAATCAAATGTAAGCATCTGTATTTTATTGTTTTTGTCCAGTAAAATGTATAAAGATTATATATTAATAAAATATTATAAATAAAATATATTAAGTCAAGGCTAAATAATGTTTGACATGTTCTTTTTTTAAATGATTATGTCCTAATCATATTAATCATAAAGAAACTTTCCTTTAACATTCCATTACATTCCACGTTCTCTTAAAAGACTTAAATGTTGTATTCATTTTGCTGGCTGTAGAATTGGTCTCTCATAACGTCTTCTCTGGATTTTCATAGAAGTTACATTAGATTCATCAAGTAGTGAATGTTGGTAGATGACGTCTACCAGTTAGCCTTTGTTCTCAGATGTTTGTGGAACATGAACTTATGTGTGTGGTGTTTGTCAGGACTTTGAAATGAATGGAGAGTTGAAGATGGGTGTGATCTGCCTGCTGGAAGAGGTGTTGAGAGACCCAGACCTTCTCCCTCAGGAGAGAAAAGCCACAGCAAACATACTAAGGTGGGTTTAAGTGCGCACACATGGGCACACATCTCACACATGGACACTTTTTGATGGCCACTGTGTCTATGAATATTAATGTAAATCTCTTTTGAGATTGAATTTGCAAGGGCAGCATTGAAAGCTGGTAAGAGGAAATTGTTTTTTTTCCCCAGTGCCCTTTCTCAAGATGACCAGGATGATGCACAGCTGAAGATTGAAGACATTCTTCAGATGGTAAGAATGGTTTATAGTGTTTATATATATATATATATATATATATATATATATATATATATATATATATATATATATATCCACGCACATTTTCTAATAACTGATTTTTTTTATCTTTGCCATGATGACAGTAAATAATGTTTTACTATATGTTTTTCAAGACAGCTTAAAGTGACATTAAGGCTTAACTAGGTTAATTAAGTCAACTAAGCAGGTTAGGGTAATTAGGGACGTTATTATATAACGATGGTTTGTTCTGTAGACTATTGAAACAAAATACTGCTTAAATGGGCTAATAATTTTGTCCCTAAAATGGTTCTTAAAAAATTAAAAACTGCATTTATTCTATACACACACACACACACACACACACACACACACACACACACACACACACACACACATATATATATATATATATATATATATATATATATATATATATATATATATATATATTTATTTATTTATTTTATTTATTTGTATTTTTTGTCATAATGGAATAACACTGGAGCATGATCTACAGCTTGATTTACATAATTTACAAAATACATGATTTACCAGTGTTCTGTACATGCTCTTAGGGGATTGAACCCATTGGGGCCCTATCATACACTAGCTGACAAAAGTCTTCTCGTCAATCTTAGTTGTAAGAGCAACAAATAATAATAACTTCTACAAATAACAAGTAACAAATAATAATAACTTCTAGTTGCTCATTTGGAAAAGTGGCAGAAGGTAGATTTTTCCCATGAATCGTCTGTTGTACTGCATCCCAATCAACGCAAAAACTTCAGAAGACCTCTTGGAACCTGCATGGAACCAAGATTCTGATCGAAATCAGTTAAGTTTGGTCAAGGAAAAGTCATGGTTTGGGGTTACATTCAGTATGGGATGTTTGCAGAGTGGATGGCAACATCAACAGCCTGAGGTATCAAGACATTTGTGCTGGCCATTACAATAAAAAACCTCGGGAGAGGTCAAATCTTCAGCAGGATAGTGCGCGTTCTCATACGTCAGCCTCCACATCAAAATTCCTAAAAACATAGAAGGTCAAGGTATAGTTCAGTTTAGTGTGGTTTAATATTCACTGCTGAGAGTTCAAACACCGAAGAGCAAATCCATCGATACGCAGCTCCACCAGTCCCAAACCATGCAAGCTAGTGACAACAGTGGCAAGGAAAAAACTTCACCAATTGGCGAAAGTGAAGGATTAAAAAACCTCGAGAGAAACCAGGCTCAGTTGGGCATGACCATTTCTCCTATGGCCAAACGTCTTGTGCAGAGCTGAAGTCTAGGAACCAAATTGAATTATTGAAATATTTAATTGGATAATTAAATATTTCAAAATCAAGGCATGACCATATTTTATTTTGGTAAAATAAACGTAATGTAGAGGCATTTGCCTTTCATATACGCCATTTCTGATACCAAATGATCAACTAGAACTCAAGTTATTATTTATTGTTCCTAAAACATAAATAGGTGACAAGACTTTTGTCAGGTAATGTACACTCAGCACATTGCGGTGCCTGATGTGATACAAATGTTTTGCTTCAGCCAGAACTTTACCAGTCCAGTTACACGATTTAAAAATTTTTACTTTGATAAAAGCACACAATCCAGTAGGTCTAATTTGTGGTAGGGGCAATAATTTAGTAAATGCTCAGGTTTTAATGTCAAGGGGAAGACAGATTTTGCTGTTCCTCATGAGGAGTTCCAGAGGCAGCATCAGGCTCAGGGACTGAATTACATGTTCAAACTGCAAATCTCTGAGCAGCGGGACTCTAATTACAACTTCAAACAGTGAGACGAAGTGCCTGTTGCCATCCTCCACATGCAAACACTACTCAGCAACACCAGAACACTAAAGAACCCACTCTAAAAAAGCTTTCAGAGGGGTTTCCTGCCTGAAATATCCATGCATTGTTGAAATGCTCATGCTGTTACATTTTAAAGCTCTGCTAGCGATATCCTGGGAGTTTCAATTGTAGAAGCATGGCTTTGGAGGATTTCCTTTTCTTAGATAAGCTTGTGGTGTAGAAAAATAACTGTTATTTAATTTTTATTTTTGTTTGTTAATATAATACAGTACAGTTAACAATATGTATGGTTACATTAGCTGATTTTTATGGTTCTCATGCATCATTGTTTATAGATTGATTGTAGATAAATGTATTCATAGACACATACACACACACACACACACACACACAGCTTCATGATATAATGTGCTACTGGCAGCAGCAAACTGGGCTCACTAATTACAAACACAGCATGCATTATCGGGACTGGGTCTGTACTCTTGGTCTCTCTCTCTTTCTCTCTCTCTCTCTCGCTCTGTGTGTGTGTTAGTGTGTGTGTGTGTGAGTGTGTGTGTGTTTGTGACATATCAGGACACAAATCTGTTTAATGACACAGGTATTACAAAAAGGAGGTGAAATATGAGGACATTGGTTAAGTCCTCATTTCTCAAAAAGCTTCTAAATTCCATAGGATGAGTTTAATCGGAGAGTAAAGCTGCACACAGTCTCCTATGATGGTTAGGTTTAGGGGTAGGGTGGGGTGAGGGTAATACAATATACGGTTTGAACAGTATATAAAGAATTGGAACCTATGTACTGTACCCACTTTTTACAAAAACAAACGTGTGTGTGTGTGTGTGTGTGTGTGTGTGTGTGTGTGTGTGTGTGTGTGTGTGTGTGTGTGTGTGTGTGTGTGTGTGTGTGTGTGTGTGCGTGTGTGTGTGTGTGTGTGTGTGTGCGTTCATGTGTGTGTATGTGTGTGTGTGTGTGTGTGTGTGTGTGTGTGTGTGTGTGTGTGTGTGTTACATGTTTTTTTGCTTAGCAATACATGTTGCCTGGACAAACACATCTTCTTCCTGAAATTCTCAGCTTCTGTGCTAATAGAAAACGTTCTGTGTCAAACAAAACCAGCATCATTCATTGCTATTTGCATTTTAATTATTGGTTTTGGTAGGATGTGTACAATATGTGTAATTACTAGCTGTCCAGTCAGCATCAGCATGATATTTTGCACATTGTCATTATAGAGTGTCACACTGTTACACAGTTATTTACATTTTAAATGGACAGTTTTATGTATCAAAATAAAGCAAATATGTCTTTCTCAATAATTTTCCAATACTATTCAATTTTCTTGCTCTAAACATCACTTGGGAAATTTTTTTAAATAAATAAAAATACAAATTTCACTAGAGGGCTAATAATGTTGCTTTCAACTGTATTGTGTGTTTATTTTATTAGTGAAGTTGCTGGCAATTTTATTGTATTTTACTGTTTAAAAAACTTAAGATGTCAACAATTTAAATTACCACAATGAGTTATTTTACACTACCTGACAAAAGTCTTGTCACCTATCCAAGTTTTATGAATAACAAATAATAACTTGACTTCTAGTTGATCATTTGGTATCAGAAGTGGCTTATATGAAAGGCGAAAACCTCTAGATTACGCTTATTTTGCCAACATAAAATATGATCATGCCTTGATTTTGAATTATTACATTAGGACAGTAAGGTCTGACTTTGCTTAGACAAAAGTCCTGTCACTTACCATAAATAATGTACAGTATAGAATATAAAGTCATGGTGAAGTGGAAAAAGAATGAATATTGTGTATGACTCTTGAAGGACCCGTACATCTCTGCAATGACTCAAATAACTTATTAATAAAGCCATCGGGAAAGCATTCTTGCAGAACTCCCAGAGTTCCTCAAGATTCTTTGGATTCATCTTCAAAGCCTCCTCCTCCGTCTTACTCCAGACATGTTCAATAATGTTCATGTGTGGTGACTGGGTTTGCCAATCTTGGAGCACCTTGACCTTCTTTGCTTTAAGGAACTTTGATGTGGAGGCTGAAGTATGAGAAGGAGCACTATCCTGCTAAAGAATTTGTCCTCTCCTGTGGTATTTAATGTAATGGGCAGCACAATGTACATGATACAGATGATTCATCAGGAAAATCTTCTGACCTTTTTTCAAATGATCAGTTATTATTTGTAGCTCTTACAACTGGGATCGACGACAAGGCTTTTGTCAGGTAGTGTATTCTTACATTACCATTGCTGTTAAAAACTGTTAATTTGTCTTTTTGTCTAATTCAGGCTGAGTGCCCAAAGGCCGAGTGTTTTGAGTCTCTGTCTGCAATGGAGATAGCAGAACAAATCACTCTCCTCGATCACATCGTGTTCAGGAGTATTCCCTACGAGTGAGTACAACAGAATTATGCATGAGCAAATCTGTCTTCACTTTTATTGATCACATGGAAAATGGGCTTCAGAAAGTCCGAAAGAGTAGAAGCTTTGTCTGCAGATACATTGACTGTGTTCTTGCTGTAGGGAGTTCCTGGGCCAAGGATGGATGAAGACAGATAAGACAGAGAGAACGCCATACATCATGAAGACAAGTCAACACTTCAATGACGTGAGTTCATATATAACTACTTTATTCCATCTGCTATCTTATACTGTAAAAGGTGGTAAGTTGAGTTCACCCATTGCTTAGGTACCCATTAAAGCGATTAGTGGATTTTACTTAAAAATATCAAATAAACATGTTGCTTTAAAAATATGAAGCAAATTAACTATATACATAATTATAAAAAGTTAGTTGGATTAGACACCAGGGTTAGTTGTCACATGTAGAATTTTAGCAATAACTGATACAACTTTAAATCAGGGGTCACCAGCATGAGTTGCCTGCAGGCCTGTTCTAAAAATAGCTCACTTTAGCGCCACTCACCAGTAAGCTGCATCTAGTATTTTTTGTAGCTATTATTTTTATGTCACACGTGCATTGTTGTAAATTTGAAAATGAAATTAAGTTATATAATACAAAAAAAAATAATATAATTAGATCAGAGCTAGCTAGCTGGTCTGTTTGCGGTTGCAGTAAAGGAGAGGAGATGATTTACCCTCGAAAACATGGCAGAAAAAAAGAAAGAAAACAAATAATTTTCGCAGTGAATAGAAGGAACAGTTCTTTTTCTACTTCATTTGCACAGTGACTGGCGACAACAAAACGGCACAATTTTGAGCGACATTTCAGTGTCACACAAGCTTCAATGCTAAATACCCTCTTCAAGTGGCTGCAGCCTCAGGGCCCTCGGAAGAAGGGGGTCCTTGATTGGCTGAATAATTAATTTGCACTGTGACACGGGAAACGCCTCTTTGCGTTATGCTTTCTCTCGCCGATAATGTGAAGTGTTCCTTTAGGTTTACTGCTGTTCAAAAACACATATTGAATAACCATGTTTCAGTCACCCACACGGATCATCAGATGTCCCAATTTTCCCAAGACAGTCCCTTATTTTGGCACTATCGCGAGAACCGTGCAGGCAAAGGTAGAGGCTAACCAAGCTCGTTGTAGAACAAAAAAATTCTTTGATACACTTCAAGATTCATTGATACACTTGTACATGTAGTACCAGAAGCTGGGATAGGCAGAAGAATACTGAATGGACTGAAACGCTGTCTCGGCCGCTTAACGGTTACAGCTGGACTCAAACTGGTGCGCGCCCCTCACAATCCTTTTATCACACAATATAACCGAGACAGTGCTCGGACAAATCAAATAACCTACACAAGAAGTTATCAAAATATCCATCGTTGCGGAGTATCTATCTCAAGTAAATAAACTCAGTTATGCTTTACAGTAACTGTAACTGAACCAGTTAGAAAGCTTTTAATAATAATAAACTTTTTTTTATGAATGTTTACTTTGCCTCTTTTATGAAAATGACAGTAATAATATGGAGCAATTAAATATTGGTCCTGACTTTCATTAGACAATATATCTAATGCAAAAAAAATAAATACTAATAAATAAATAAAAGAAGGATGCTAAACTTCTCTAACTCAGAAGACCACAGTAAGCTATTTTGGGTATTAGAAGCATGGAAATTAAATACATTATATCATAGGGATTTATGGTCAGCTAAATTTCTGAAGAACCTTTTTAAAGTTAAACCTCTATTTAAAGTATTTATTACAAAGCACTAATTTAGGAAGTATTGCAAATGTATTTTGTATCGTTGATTTTTGCAGCTTGTTTCTACTTTAAAGTTCATATTAAATGACATTACTTAATTTTGTATACTTGCAGGCCTATTTTAATTAAATAGAAAAAAAAAATGTGATAATCAAATATAAATCAAATGCCGTAAAATTATATAAAAATTAATTAGTAAATTATTAATAATGATAATAACAATTAATATATATATTATATATATAATATATATATTAGTCATTCATTCATTTTCTTGTCGGCTTAGTCCCTTTATTAATCCGGGGTCGCCACAGCGGAATGAACCGCCAACTTATCCAGCAAGTTTTTATGCAGCGGATACCCTTCCAGCCGCAACCCATCTCTGGGAAACATCCACACACACATTCACACACACTCATACACTACGGACAATTTAGCCTACCTAATTCACCTGTACCGCATGTCTTTGAACTGTGGGGGTAACCGGAGCACCCGGAGGAAACCCACACGAAGGCAGGAAGAACATGCAAACTCCACACAGAAACCTCTTGAATTCTTGTTTGTCCTACTGTTAAAACTTAGTAAACAATAACCAAAAAAATAAAAAATAAAAAATTGAACCAGTAGTGGAAATAACCTGCTGTTTTGTAGCCAACACGTGTTATACAGATTTGGACTTTTTAAGAACTACTGGCGTAAACATGTGACAACTATTCCCTGTTGCCTGTATGGTGTATCTGTGTTCTCCTGTATAGATGAGTAATCTGGTGGCCTCTCAGATCATGAGCCATACAGATGTGGGCTCCAGAGCGGGTTCTATTGAAAAATGGGTCGCAGTGGCTGACATTTGCCGTTGTCTCAACAATTATAACGGTGTCTTGGAGATCACATCTGCCCTGAACCGCAGCGCCATCTACAGGCTGAAGAAGACATGGGCTAAAGTCTGCAAACAGGTTAGAGATACACTCAAAAATATGACTTTTGTTGCTTGTCCTACTTACTGTTATTTAAATGAGTTTAAAAAGATTTTTTTGTCACAGCTTAATTGATATATGTTTAATCCACTTATTAAAAACTTGTAAAAATGATTAAATTCTTTTCATCAATTAGTTTGTGTTGGGACAACATGAGGAATTTATGTGGAATGCAGCATTATTTACAGTGCACAAACTAAATGGTGCTATTTTGTAGTAGTGGATTACAGTAGTCAACATTTAAAGTGGATCAGAACCTTTCATCAAAGTTGTCATAAAACTATTAAACAACACCCATTTTTGTCTTAGAACAATAATACAAAAAAAAAAAAAACGTTTTTGATCCACTTTAAATGTTGACTACTATATTTTAGTGTAGTAATACAAAAACTTTTGGCCGTTGTTGTGTTTCTTCAAATAGACTAAAGCACTAATGGACAAACTTCAGAAGACCGTGTCATCTGAGGGAAGATTTAAAAACTTGAGGGAAACTCTCAAAAAGTGAGCTATTGTAATGCTACATGTTTCAATTACTTCTCTCCAATAGAGGCTTTGAAAACATATGATTTATATTTGATTTTTGTTTCTGTCTTCATGCAGCTGTAATCCACCCTGTGTTCCATATCTGGGCATGTACTTGACAGACCTTGCGTTTATCGAAGAGGGAACTCCAAATTTCACAGAGGAAGGTCTAGTTAACTTCTCAAAGATGAGAATGGTGAGAAATCATATCATATATCCTGGATCATTTCCACTGGGATTAAGTGAATAATTAATGTTTTGCGTAAGTGGATAGACTGATGAATCTTGACACGGTTTCTGCAGATTTCTCACATCATACGAGAGATCCGACAGTTCCAGCAAACTCCCTACAGAATAGAGCACCAACCAAAGGTATGACATATATAATTCATTTTCAGATCTATTCTTGGCATTCTCCATCAATTCGTGCTGCATCTCACCCAATAAAGCTCAATTTCCATTTGATTTGATTAATATCATCGTATCCAAATACTTTATAAAAAATATTTCAAAACTCCTTTATTGCTTATTGTTTTTGAAAAAATCTATTCTCTTTTTCACATAGGCCTTTGTATAATGTAAGTTTAAAATGGCTTAAAATGGTTTAATTTATGTATTGTATATACCTACATTGTTATAGCTACTGTAGCTGTTTTTGTTTTATAATGGTTAATTTAATTAATGTTTTTTTTATAAAATTAATGATTTTTTATATCCAATATTTGTAATTCTTTAAATGATTTCAGTATAGCTTAGGCTATTTTATCTAGATATGACACTGTTGATTACATAAGTGGACACGTAATTTGTAAAGTTTTATGTCTTTCTGTTGTATTCATATTTTCTATTATCTTTAAAAGAAAGAAACCCAGCCGCTCGTGGCATCAACAGAGCTGTCAAGCGAGCGCTCTTTTGCCTGGTCTCTTACATGGGCATCTAAATGTGCACACCATTCACAAACACACTGTTAAACTTGACAAAAATTATTCACAACTTTTACTGGCTGCTGTGTCTTTAATATGGTGTAAAGGTTATTATGTGTTATTAAAACATAGAGGAGGACGTACTAAAAAAAAGTCACTTATAAATTAATACTTTATTATTGGCCCAGAGGAAGCCCTGCTTTGGCCCGATAAGGCCCCGGAAATGCGGCTATTTTAAGCTTTAATTTGGCCCAACATCTTATCTGAGCGGAGAATATGAATGATGGAGAGGGTTGGGGTGAATGCCTTCAGCACTGAGATCGTCATTTCTAATTTGACGTAAACTTTTTTGTTTGTTTTATTGCTGAGCTACAAAAAATTAAATGTTTTAATTAAATGTTGTAAATGAATTTAATTTTTTTTAAATGTAAATACTGTCACTCAGGGGCGGTTCTAATCAATAAGCGAGGTACTGTAAGCAACTGCTTTGGGCCCCGGGAAAATAGGGGGCCCCGACCAATGTCAAAGATATTTATATTAATTATCCAAAAACTATTTTATAGTTTTTCTATCATATGTTGTAAAATCTGTCTATAAGCATTAAGATGTTAATGTCATTACTTGTTTTCTAAACCTGAAGGCCCCATGAATAGTGGAACGTTCCTTCCATACTGCACATATAAATATTAAAATCTAATCACAAATCACAAGTATGGCTAATAAGCTGTACATAGTATGTGAGCTTGTTTTTTATTTGTGAGTATATTGTATTTAATTTTAAATTAAATAAGTTCCACTTTAAATATATTTTTACATTCAGTTTATTTACAAAAGAAAAACTTAATCTAGAGAGAAAACAGATATCTATTGAGAAAGAGTGTTTTGATTTTCAATACACCTGGAATTTCCTAGGGCCCTCAAATCACTAGGTCCTCCCCTGCTGTCACTTGGGTTTGCTTTTACACTCTAGATCAGGGGTAACAAAGTTCTAGGAGGGCTGGAACCTGCAGAGTTTAGATCCAACCCTGCTTCAGTACACTAACCTGTAGGCTTCAATCAAGCCTGAAGGACTCAATTAGTTTGATCAAGTGAGTTTAATTACGGGGACTAAAATGAACTGTTTTAAAATGTGTCATCTTTATTCATGAAATGTCATATGTAATATGTAATTATTCCAGGTTACCCATTCTAAGCCAAATATCAGATTCCCCGATTTCACTGAATAAACAGCTCATTTTTCATGACCTATAATGAGCAGAAAAACAGGCTGCTGTTGTGCTTTGCATAATATTAAATTGGTTTTAGCTTAAATATCACTTTGCTGGACTTTACTAGCCACTAGTATAGAATAACAATGTATAATTTGTCTCACATTTATTTTTAAAATTCAGTGTTTACGTGGCTGGGAAGTGGCTCTCCCATTGATTTTTTAGTAGTTTTCCAAGTATTACATTTAGTGTTTCTGACATATTTTAACACCCTTTAAATGGTAATTTTAAACCCAAAGCTCCTAAAATGTATTTTATCCTGACATGTTGATTCTGGAGACTGCTTTTGACTTATTAATCATAAAAGGAATAAAATTAAGCTGGAAAAACAGACTAATCATAACGGCAGGCATGCAATATGCATTTAAATCTTATAGAAAACTTAATTTACTTATAAATGGAAACTAAAATTTAAAGTGACAAACAAAAACCCGGGATATGCAATGACAAATGAAATATTACGATTTGGGACTTTCAATGTCTGGAATATACCTTCCATGATATTCTAAAAATTCCCAGTGGAATCCCTGTTATCCCCTAATTTGTAGTGCATTATGTAATCTGTTTTAAAGTAATCTTCTGTTATTTGTGCCTAGGTCACGCAGTATCTTCTGGATAAGACCTTGATTATGGATGAGGACACACTTTATGATTTATCACTCAAGATTGAACCCAGGCTTCCTGCATGAACAACAACCTCAGTACCTGGCAGCTTCCATCTAGATGTGCTTCTCACTCTTAGGATGTTTCGAAGGCATGACGCATACCTCGCGTTTTAGAAAGAGAGAGGTAAAATGTCCATTTGAAAGTGTGGAAGGATAGAGGGTCCATGCTTGGAGAAGAGTATTAAACAGTGCTCACCACCACCATGTCACCTCAAGAGTGACTTTTATGGGGAAAGAAGGCCACTGTTGGAGGTCAGGGGTCTTAAGTAAGTTTCAGGGTCTAGCTGAAGGATTAAGTCTTAATTGTGAGGAGAGTGGGTGAAGATATGTAGCATGTACAGAAGTAGAGCTGTTAGCCAGATCTTATGTAGTGTATTGTGGCCCCTCGAGCCTGTGGCCCCTGGCACATCCCCTCATTGGTAATGGTAGTGACTTTGTGCATGAACTAGACTGTGGGTTTGCTGTGCGCTTTGCCTCAACTTTACACTCCACGTGCTGTTCCATCTGGCTGCATCGAACCAAAATACCACCTGAAAATTTTAACAGATTGACAGTCTTCTAAATAACCAGAATGTATAGTAGCTTTTAAAAAAAACAGTAAACAGTTGTACGTAGATTATATTTATATTTGGTAAATTTCCCCCTGAAGCTATTTCAAAGTTGTTTTATGTGCCTTCTCACTTTTGCAGACACTCGTAAATGAAACCAACGTATCGGCAATGCTTGAAAGTTGTGATATTAGCATATTATTGGCCTCTGTAGCAAGTGTGACAGAACACTCAGATGTTCAGACAATTTAAGTCAATAAATACAAGGAGTCATTCTTACTGTTACAAACATGAGATGCAAGTTTTAAAACTTCAAGATTTAAAGATTCTTTTTATAACGTTAAACTTCTGTTAAACGGGTCATGAAATGTTTGTATCCCAAATTAGTTTAAAAGCTTTTAATATCTGTAAAAATTATCATTTTCTATCTTCATCAATCAACTTTAAGCACTTCAAGGGAGTGTAAAACTTTCACTAAGTGAAGTTTACAACCAAGGCTCATTCTGATTATGTGTCCTTATGTAGATTTCTGGAGAGTGCCAAATACGTCCTAGGAGCTACATTTTACAGTTTTTGTTTTCGCAAATCCCACCCCCTTCTCTAAAACCAACCAATAGTGTTTTCAAAAGCACCAAATGGCCTGCCCAGCCACTTCCCCAAACCCAACTGAGTCTAGAAAAATGGCAAGCAGTCAAGAAAAACAAAAGCCCTCATCTAATTATTACCACATTTTCAGATTTTACCACATTTTCACCCTGTTATTTACTTGTTTATTTGATTTTTTTAGCTGTTGTTTTTGTCTTACCTGCTTTCTGGAACTCTTTCCTTCACCGGACTCGAATCCTGTTATCTCGCTTAACTCTGTTCTGCCTCTCAAGTCCGCCAACGTACATGTCGAGTTACCAGAAAAACTGGGAACAAAGAGAAAGCCACCCATACAGGTAAACGGTTAGCTGGGTTTTCCCCTGGTTCCCTGGTTTGCTTCCACTGTCCAAAAACATGTGATATACAGTTGAAGTCTGAATTATTAGCCCCCCCTTTATTTTTTTCCAAATATTTCCCAAATGATTATTAACAGAGCAAAGACATGTTCACAGTATGTCTGATTATATTTTTTATATAAAGAAAGTCTTATTTGTTTTATTTTGGCTAGAATAAAAGCATTTATTATTTTTTTTAATATACCATTTTAGGGACAAAATTATTAGCCCCTTTAAGCTATATATATATATATATATATATATATATATATATATATTTTTTTTTTTTTTTTTTTTTTTTTTTTTGATAGTCCAAAGAAAAAAACATCATTATACAATAACTTGCCAAAAAACCCTAACCTGCCTAGTTAACCTAATTAACCTAGTTAAGCTATTAAATGTCACTTTAAGCTGTACAGAAGTGTCTTTAAAAAATATCTAGTCAAATATTATTTACTGGCAAAGATAAAATAAATCAGTTATTAAAAATTAGTAATTAAAACTATTATGATTAGAAATGTGTTGAAAAAATCTTCCCTTCAATAAAGAGAAATTGAGGGAAAAAATAAACAGGGGTCTAATAATTCAGGGGGCTAATAATTCTGACTTCAACTGTACGTAATTTGACTATACCAAAATGGCCCTATAGATGAGCTCTTAGTAAGCAGAATAGCTAACTCTAGCTTTCAGGGGGAGTTCATCAAGGTCTACCCAAGCTCAATCTCCCCTCTTGTCCTGCTAATGGGAGGGAGCCCAGAGCTCGGGGTTCTTATAAGCTCAATGCTCTCTCTCTCTGGACAGCATGCCAAACAAGCTTTATTATAAATGATCAGTGTGAACTCTTGAAATATTCTCTTAAATGTCCCAGCGTGACTTCTGTCATCTGTTAATCAACAGCAGTGGGTGTAGTATAAAAAAATAATAATAAAACTAAATAATTATCTAAACAACATAAACTTTTAAAAGTGCAGTTTTATTTATTCAATTATTCAAATTTTAATTTTAGTACTTAAATCTCTTATTTAACACACCTGATTCAGATAACCAGCTCATTAGATGAGCTCCAGGGTTGCATGGACTATTTACTAGTTATTTATAGTGCTATGGTAGTATCGTGATTTTATAGCTCCAAAATAATGGTGGTGCCACTGTAGTTTGTAAACGGTAGTATCGTCATTAACGGTCTATCTCCAACACATAATGTTGCATGTTGAAAAGTTAAAATGCTCACCCATTTGTGCAACAAAAGACCATTTTATTTGAATAGTCTGTGGAGCCTCTTTTGAACGTTTTCTGACACTTCAGAATCTGAATCACTTCATTTAATTTTCTTTGAATCTGAATCAGTTCATTTCTGCTCCTGTCAATATGATTTAGTCGCTTTGACAACTGTGACAATCTCCTAAAAAGAGCAACTCACAAAGTTAAATTTTGAATTACTTAACCTGATAAGAATGAAAAGAAAAGAAAAAAAAACAGTGGATACTGGAAACATTAAAACTGAATTTTCGACCACTTAATAAAACCTAATTTGTGTCTATTTTTTAATATCAGTCAGTTTATCTAAAACATAAACAAAACAAAAAAAACACATTTTAGGTGAAGTGATGTGCAAATACTTTTTTAATAGCAAGGGAATCATTTATTCAATTCAAAGAGGCCCATTATAACATACAAAATATAGTATTTCTGACAATTTTCTTTATTTCACGGATTTGAGTTATTAAATTAAATTACAGTATCTCAATTCTACTTGGTTCTTCAGCTGGTATATTATCGTGACATGAATTAACGGTATCATGACAACCCTACTCCTTACATGAGCTGTCTGATTGACAGGTCTCTATACAGTGCTCCCCCTCCCTTCTCCTTCATTGCTCTTCATTTAACCTCAGAATGCTCACTCAAAGATTTACATAATGGCATTGCCTGCAGCGTCTTATTACTAGAGAAGTGTGAAGTGTGACATAATTTACCAATGCAAATACAGTGCTAACCCCTGAGCTACAGTGCCACCCTAAAACATGTATTCTTTCTCTCAAATTGAAATCTGAGAAAATCCTGTTCACATTGCTGGCCATTTACAGTTAAACAACTGTTGGAGATAAAGGAGAAACATATAAAAAGCGCTGAGTTTTGGGGCATGAGGAGGACCAGGGTTGAGAAATGCTGTAATACATGCAGAGGGCAGCGTTTATGGCCTGTGCTGCATCCAACCACAGGTCATGACAACATGGAGCGTGTAGTACATTTCACTTTCAATAATACTACACACACTCAAACTCTATAACAGGGCTGTAAAACTCAGTCCTGGAGGGTCGGTGTCCTGCAAAGTTTAGTTCCTATCCCAATCAGACACACCTAGGTGAGCTAATCAAGCTTTTACTAGGCTTACTTGTTTTACTAGGAAACATCCGTGCAGGTGTGTTGAAGCAAGTTAAAGTAAAAGTATGCAGGACACTGGCCCTCCAGGACTGAATTTGGACACCCTTGCTGTTTAAATATTCCTGTGAAATAAGTTCAAATTCAAATGCAGAACCTACTCAGTCAATATGCGATTTTAGATGCAGGCATTACCTCTTGCAGAGACTAAAGTAACCTGTACATATCTTTGCTAACTTTATTGCACAGAGCATGCCCTCCTTTTCAGATGATAATTATGATAGTCAAATGGCAAAAGCTGTAATTATAAAGATGAAATTATAATAATATTTATTTAATAATATAATAAAAATAATGAAAAAAATGTAATAAACTCTTAATCATAATTTCAATTTAATCCGATATTTCTTTGACCTTTCTAAGAATTTTCATGCTGTCTGAGAGTTTTTTCACTGATGTGCATCCCAGCTGGCACACTGATGTCAAAATGGTGTCAAAAGCACATCAAAAATGCTTATCAAGATCAATACCAATTTTCAGCATCGATGTCGTAATTTGATCATTCGCAATAGTCACATCACAGGATATGCAATGTTGAGTTTGTGTTAGAATTTATCATCTGTATTCGCTTTTTTAAAGCCTGTAATTGTATAAGGACTTTAAAAGCATTCAGGTATAAGAAATTGTTCAACTTTTTTTACCTTAACTACGATTAATTTTATTAAATTATTTTTATTTTGAATATTTATTTACTGTACTTTAATACTGTTACACTTGGGAAACGATAAAAGACTTTAATTCAGTTGGATCTTTTTCTTGATTATATGTTATGCATGAAAATACTCACAACACATACAAATGCAAAAACGCACCGCAAAGAGCACAGACAACAATAAAGATGTGCTGGGGGATCCCAAAAAATTTATAGAGATTTATTAGATTTTATGGAAATGCAAATAGTAAACATTAATTCCTCAATCTCTGACTAGACACATGCATGAAAATACTTACAAGATGTGCAAAAACAGAAGTGTACTGGAAATAGCACAGACCAAAATAAAAATGCAAATTCTATAGATTGTTTATTTATAAGTTATTTATTAGATTTTATGGA